AGGGCCTCCGCCAAAAAGAAGAGTTCGACCTCGATCGAACAATGACGGGTTAATATTTCGACGAAAGATCGAAATAACACCCTTAAGGCCAAGGGCCTCCGCCAAAAAGAAGAGTTCGACCTCGATCGAACAACGACGGATTAATATTTCGACGAAAGATCAAAATAACACCCTTAAGGCCAAGGGCCTCCGCCAAAAAGAAGAGTTCGACCTCGATCGAACAACGACAGGTTAATATTTTGATGAAATATCAAAATAACACCCTTAAGGCCAAGGGCCTCCGCCAAAAAGAAGAGTTCGACCTCGATCGAACAACGACAGGTTAATATTTTGACAAAAGATCGAAATAATACCCTTAAGGCCAAGGGCCACCGCCAAAAAGAAGAGTTCGACCTCGATCGAACAACGACGGGTTAATATTTCGACGAAAGATAACACCCTTAAGGCCAAGGGCCTCCGCCAAAAAGAAGAGTTCGACCTCGATCGAACAACGACGGGTTAATATTTCGACGAAAGATCGAAATAACACCCTTAAGGCCAAGGGCCTCCGCCAAAAAAAAGAGTTCGACCTCGATCGAACAACGACGGGTTAATATTTCGACGAAAGATCGAAATAACACCCTTAAGGCCAAGGGCCTCCGCCAAAACGAAGAGTTCGACCTCGATCGAACAACGACGGGTTAATATTTCGACGAAAGATCGGAATAACACCTTAAGGTCAAGGGCCTCCTTCAAAAAGAAGAGTTCGACCTCGATCGAACAACGACGGATCAACATTTCGAAAAGAATTCGAAATAATACTCCTAAGACCGAAAGCCATCGCCGAAGATAACTGGGACTCGCGACGGGATGATACTTTGATATAAGCTCGAAAATAAAATCCCTACGGCTAAGGCTGCTATTAGAAAGAGAATCCGATACCATTCGGACGTCGATAGAATAACACCTCGATACGAGGTGAAAAGCACAGTCCCCTCAGCTAAAGCCGTCATCAAGGCTCTACTCAAACCGAGTGACCTTGAAGTCCCCTAAGAAGCGGGAGGTCAGCATGCAGAAATCTACTTTGCATCAAAATTACGAAGAGCAAAACAGTAAAAGGAGTACAGAAGGCGTGTAATAATGAAAAATCCTCTTCATACAAAGCTACTGTGCAAACAACCGCAAATTACCTACAGCTAAAATCAACGGCGTCCAAGAAAAGAACAATAAACAACAATTAAAAAAAAAGGGGGAAGAGAAACAAAGATAGCAATTCTTTCTCTCGGCACCATCTCCAGGAGATCCTCCCTCATCAACCGCACCCGCATCAGCTTCCGGCGTTGCAAAGTCATATCCACAGTTTACACAAGCCTCTCGTGCCTTTGCCCGTGCTCCTTCATATGCGTCCTCAGTAACTTTGCCCGCCTCCCACAAAGTATTGTAGATGTCCTGCTAGGCTTCAGCATGAACCCAAAGCTCGTGCAAATGACGAGGAGAAGCGGCGGAGGAAGATTCAACTTGAGCCAACGGTTGCTCCTTTTCGGCCTCAAGAGCAGCGACCTGGTCCGCTAGGGTCGATGCCTCTCGATCGATCTCGCCAATGCGCTCCTCAAGCCTCTCTTCCCTCAACGTGGTCGTCGCCCTCTCCGATTCCTGCTCGGATTGGATGACGCGGATGGTGTTCTCTAAAGCCGCAGCCCTCGCCAAAGCCGATGACCAAGCACTCTCGATATTCTCCAAACCAGCAACTTTACTCTCCAACTCGGTCAACTTTCCCATCCACTCTGCGCTCATCGTCTCGACCCTGATAAGGTTCTGATCCATCTCTGATTGCATAGACCTCAACTTCTCCTGAAGATGTTTGCACTCTGCAGCAACCCCTTTACCCGGCTCAAGTTCTTCATCCTTGGCACGAAGTTGCTCCTCGAGTACACTACTCATGCGGATAGCCTCCATCAGTTGCTGGTCCCTCTTCTCCAACTCCTCGCCGAGGGATCGACATCAGGGTTCTCCCTCAGCCACTCGTGCATCTAACGGCACTTATCGCGATAGCGCCAATATTTCCCCAGCATTGTCGGGAAAATCTTGGCCCGAGTATCAGCTCTGCGAGCACTCTCAATCTCCACCATGTACGTCTGGAAAACGAAAAAACAGGCTAAGGCCAGGCTGACAAGAAAAACGAAAGGAACATAAAAGGAAAGTGAAACGTATCCTCAAGCCCATAGCGGCCACTTTGTGCATCAAATCAATATCAGGAACATTCCGAAGAGCCTCGTTCTCGGCGGCGGAGCACAAGAGGTCAAACTGCGGCACCAGGTCCTCCGTATCTCCCAAAAGGTTGATGTCCGACGGAATCTCTAGAATACAGGACGGCCCTCCCGCCTGAACTACCGAACGGGTAAGACCCTCTTCAAACATCCTAAAATCATCAGGATCAAGATCAGACTCGGATTCGTAGTCATCGACCACGAAATCCTTTCCCCTTACTGCGACCGAGGAAGAAGCACGACCAGGTACCGAGGACGAAGGTCCGTCCGAAGTAGTAGCAGCAGCCTCAGAAATCCGACCCCCCGCTACGGTCGGTGGCAGATTAATCACAGCGGCAGGAACTTCCATCGATGGGTCGGACACAGCAGCTGGCACCGCCTCTGTAGGCGGAACGGCATCGACTCCCGCCTCAGATCCCGTCAAGGGAAGGTCTTCCTCTAAATATATCACAGCTGAAGGAGCCGTTTCGAACTCCACTCGCCGCCTCTTTGATGACTCCTCCCTTTCCTCGGCACGGGAAGATTCCCTCACTAGGGAGGTGACAGGGTCTGACCTCTCAGGTCGAGGGGTGACCTCCGCGTGTACGGCCGTAGCCGTAGATTCGACTGAAGCGGCCCTCGATGAAGGTCGGGCAGTAGATGCCGAAGCAAGACAAGTGGATGAGGCAGGCTGACGAAAAGCTAATGGAGGAGCCCTTGCTCTCCGCACCCTTCCTGGCATCGACAAACATCACATAAGAAACCAAGCAAAAAAAGGAGAAGGAATAGCGAACAAAGACAATATTACTCACCAGTAAGGGGCTTGCGTCCATATTTCTCATAGAAAGATGACCATGTACGGACACCCGTCGTATGAGGAAGGATGGCGCTCACCCACCCGCGGATATCATCAACAGGTGCAGGAGGTAGCTTCGCGGCAATAAAAACACAGTTCAGTGTTACCCAAATAAAAGCGGTGAAACATTAATCTGACAAAAGGCATAGAAACTTACGGGCGAAGTTCCATTTCTCAGGGAACCCCGTAGGATCCGCCACAAGGTGTTCGGTCTGCACATAAAATTAATTCTCGTAGAAGCGACGGTTGGTTCTATCGTCCATCTTCACCACCAGACTCTTCGACCCTCGGTGGCGCATGTGAATCATCGTGCCACGAATGAGTTGATGGGCGAAAATATTGAGCATATGCCCCAAAGTGATCTCACAACCAGTAAGCTCCGCAAACTTATGCAGCATGAGGAACAATTTGTATAGGTACGGCGAAAGCTGCGCTGGCCATACCTCGTAAAAGCGGCAGAAATCTACCACCAAGAGAGGGAGAGGAAGCGTGTACCCGACAATAAAGGGGTAGGCGTAGAACGTGCAATACCCTGGGCGGCCAAAATGGACTATGTCGTCCCCCACCGCGGCAGTATTTCAACGTGGCGAGGGATCCCCCACCTAGCCTTCAATTCTGCGATCCCCTCCTCAGTTATGACGGACGGAGCAGGTTCCGACTCCTCCCTGGCGGGGCTGTGAAAATCACTCCACGCCTTTCCAGGGCGAGGCAAGATCTCAGCCACCAACGGGACCTCCTCATCTTCTACCACTTCTGCTCCTCTAGTGGCCAGAACATCATTTTCCGGCGCCGGAGTTGGGGGAGAAAGTTCAGCGCGAGAAGAATCGCCAGCCATTTGAATCAATTTGATAAAGCAAGAGGATAAAGAAAGGAAAGACGAAAATTCCTACCCAACTAAAGGAAATCAAAATCCGAAGTATCGGGAGGAAAGAGGATTCGCAAAGTTTTCTTAAGCAAAGGCAAAGAATGTGTCAAATCGAATGGTGCAGTCCTATTTATAAGAGATAAATTTTCCGAGCACGAAATCCAAGAGTCGCCAAGTGAGGTTGATAGGGCATGAAACGGTTCAACCCCCTAGGAACGTGTGTCATAATGGCAGATAACCATAAATGACGCTTCAAGACAAACGATGTTCAGGTTCCGAAACGACCAAAATGGTTCGAGGATAGCGAAAAGATGCCGTCACATTGCTAGAATCTGAAGACCATACCCGAGGGGTAAGTGGTCAGATTTCTCTTAGATACGTAATAATCGTAATCCGCCTACCAGGCCCGACAAAAGACGACCCCGGTAGGCGGAAGAACTAACTGTATTGGTCGAAATCTGATCGCTGCAGTCGGCCTGACCAAGATCCCGTGACAAAAAACGACACTAAGGGAACGACGAAAGCGGGCGTTGTGCAAATCTGTATTGACCCATAGTGAGGGTTCCATAACTATATATAGGGGAGGAGTCTCTCAAAGGAGGGGGGGGGGGNTATCTCTCCTCTGTAATCTTCTTAAAAAGAGGAACCTTCCCATGGAAGACGAAAAACAGTGATCTTCATCGATTAATGAATGAGAAAATGAAAAATATCAATGAGATTGATCACCCCTATTTCACCTTATGCATTATTTTCTAATTCGCTTATGGATCTGAAGGTTATTAGGTTTGACTAAGATTTACCTCTTCATTCTCTTTAATTGATTTGTACGAAAAGACTTCAATATCTTTTGAATCAAACAGGTTAGAAATAAAAGTTTTGCATCATATAAACGCATAAAACTTGAAAATTTTATAGACGTATAGTACTACTAACATTGCACTTGCAAGAATTTGATGGGTGAGTGGTGTATTTTTAGTTCAAAAGGACCGTATGAGTCAATGGACATATGGGCCTAACTCGTCCATAGTTACTAACTTTTCTGCACATATTTCAGGTTCCTCTATTTCAACATATGGATAATTTGGTCCTGGAGAACATATGTGATCGCGTGAAGTCCCTGATATTTACTAAAGGAGAAACAGTAAGTCCAAATGTCAGTGTTAAACATTTGTATTAGGCAATACACTATAACGAATGGGACTAGGAGTTAAAATCTCTCCGTCTAAGATATATTTGCTTTTTTGATAGATAACTAGAGAGGGCGATCCAGTTCAGAGAATGTTATTCATAGTGAGAGGCCATCTCCAGAGTAGTCAAGTACTTCGAGACGGTGTAAAAAGTTGCTGCATGTTAGGTCCCGGAAACTTCAGCGGCGACGAACTTCTTTCGTGGTGCCTCCGAAGACCCTTCGTGGAGCGACTGCCGCCGTCCTCATCATCATTAGTGACTCTTGAAACCACTGAAGCCTTTGGCCTTGAAGCTGACGATGTGAAGTATGTAACACAACATTTCCGGTACACATTTGTGGACGAAAAAGTCAAGAGAAGTGCTAGATATTATTCTCCAGGATGGAGAACTTGGGCAGCAGTTGCTATTCAATTGGCTTGGAGGAGATATAGACACAGGTTGACGCTCACCTCGTTATCTTTTATTAGACCAAGAAGACCATTATCTCGATCTTCTTCATTAACGGAGGACAGACTCAAGCTTTATGCGGCTTTGCTTACTTCGCCAAAGCCTAATCACGATGATTTTCATTTTTAAAAACAACAAAAGATTTACTTGTGGAACATATGTGTGGTAATATAGTTTGAATGTTCTTGTTACATCCCCCTCCCACTTAACTTCCTTCAATTGTCCCAACGTTACACTCTCAAAAGTTCCTAAGCAGCTAAAATTGATGAGGATTTACCCGCCTCATGAAGTTATAACAAACCAGTAATTTCCCACGAGTGGGGTCTAGGGACAGACATGCCATGAAGTTATTATAATTTTCTTGTTATACTTTCTTCTCAAAAAAATCAAATAACCACTAAGGCAACACTCCAGCTGTGAGCTGCAGTTCCAATTTATGCTCCCCAGAAGAATAATGCTTCCAGAAAAAGGAATACAATGTCTACAAGAAAATAGCCAAAAGATTACATTCCTTATATCATGCTTTTAACCGCAAAGAAGAACTTACATCTCCAGCCATTATTCTACTTTTACATGAAGAACTGTGTAGCCCTTCTCCAACATCCTTCTAAAGAAAGGCAAGTATATATAAAAGGTGTGGATCTGATTTTACATTACTATTCTGGCAAAAGATGAACTTACATAAAAACCCTTTACTGCTTTACACTGAATCCACTGCCTCAACCTGTTGCCGGGCAAGATACCTCTCCCGACGCTCCTTCTGTAAGCATAGTGAGCAAAAACACATTGTTAGAGGAATGAAATAGGCCAGGAATTAGAATGATTCATGTCTTTACACAAACATCAGATATGCTTACCCATTCATCTACTATTAAACCTTCTCCCACAACTTTCGGACCTGTGTCAACTGGAGGTTTCTTGTCAGCTTCTGCTGCAGCCTCAGCTTGGGCCAACTGACGTTTTAGTTTATCCATTGCCTTCAATCATTCAAATTACTTTGGTTGGAGATTGGACATTTGCACAATGTACAACAACAAAATATAACATGTCTAACTCTTACTGGAGAAGGGCGTTCAGGGTCCAAAAACACCACCCTTAGAGTACGCTCAACAGTGACTTGTTCCTTTTGTTCATCGAACTGCAGAAAACAACCAACGAGGGTTACACCACTAAAAAGCTCTTTTTTCTCATCAAACTGCATAAAACAATCAATGAAAGTTACACCACTAAAGCTACAGTAGTACTGTGATACAGAGCAAATATTTGATATACCTGCAACCAAAAGCACACACCCCCACATATTTTTTTGGTACAGAACAGATATTAGATATAAGGGCAACCAAAGCACAGATCCTCACCTATGTTTTACCTCTTACACTGTAAAGTTTCTCCCAGGAATAGCATCCAGGTCAAATGTAAGAGACACAGGGTTGCATCAAGACTACTACCTAGGAGTATTGCATGATGATAAAAGGAAAAAAAAAATATCGTAGATATGCAGAATGATATATGGCTGAACAAATTGGAAAGAAATGGATTATGTATGAAATTATTATCCTTCTCATTTTTAGGAAATTGAAGAGGTGGAAATTTTACATCATGGAGTTGCATGCAAAAGCAACTATACATCATTAAGTTTTAGAAGTTTCTAATCTCAACAATCAGCACTTTTTTCATCGCAAGAGCCAGTGTTAAGATTTTAGCTGATTAAACTTTTGAGATTAGCCAAAAAAGAGATTACAAAGAAGTTTATCATAAAGAGATACTTCACATCAATCATATCTGTCAGAGGTTTGTCATCGTAGACATAGCCAATTATCGTTATTCTGGGGCAAAGAACAACATGAGAATGTAGAGAGCAGAGAGGAAAATGTCCCGATTAAGATTAAGATTATAAACAAATCTCTATGAGATTTCATCAATGCATTTTCTTTTCTGGAAATGAGTCGATACGGACATAGCACCCTTTCAGCCGACACCTACAGAAAAGAACCTCTGCAGCAGTCAACATTTTTCTAGAGCCCCAACCAAGTGGAGCAACTCCTACATAACTGAAGGGAAAAGAAGAAGCAATCACGCCATGCTAATTTAGCCAGCACCACTTATATCAGATTTAGATCCTCTGGGAAACGGATTTGTCTCGGAACAAAAGGGCATCAAATCCAGAGCTTGTACCCTCATTTAACAAATTACTACAACAACAACAACAACAAACCCAGTATGATCCCAACAGATGGGATCTGGGGAGGGTAGTCTGTACGCAAACCTTACCCCTACCTAATGTAGGTAGAGAGGCTGTTTCCAATAGACCCTCGGCTCAGGAAGGGTGAGAAGAAGAGGAAAGCAAGGAAGGAACAAAGAAGGAAGCGAAAAGAAAAAGGGAGAGATAAATGATAAGTAGTACCAAATAATAGCAACAGGGAATACAATACCTGAGACGAACAAAACCACATAACGTAAAAATCTAAGAATATGAAGGGACATGCATGCTACTAAGACAATCGGTGAATAACTAAAAACTACCCACTAACCTTCTACCTTAATCCTCGACCTCCACACCCTCCTCTCAAGGGTCATGTTATTGTAGATGGAAAGAAATGATGATCTAATAAGATGTCAATGTGGCCCAGCAACCAGTAGAATATTCAGCTATTAAATTTGACCGAACTCTCTTACTGAAGACTACACGAACTATTTTCTTAATCATTGTTACTAAAATATATTTGAGCAAATTGGACTGGGTTCCATCCAAAGAAGATACACGGAATAGAAAGACAAACAAGAAACTTAATGACTCTCAATACGAAGTACATTTAAGTCCACGATCTAAACAATCCATCTAGAGATTTGCATAAATTCAAGTTTGAAAATTTGCATTGCATGGATACTAATAAATAGGATGCTGTCAGTGACAAGTTCAATGTGTAACATGCGCCGAGAAAAAAAGTACACAAGCATATTTGGCAATGAATAGGGATGACGCCTAATCATTTTTCTGGTCACGGAATGAAATATAGAGAAACTTAATTTTTCAACACCTAGTAATTTCATTAACTTACCAACTCAGGTACATAATCAGTTCCTTCTTTCACCTTCAAACTCACGATCTTGAACTTTACCTTGGTCTTTTGATCTACTATAGGCTTCTCATTGTTCTCAGGGAGCTCAATAAACTTGAAGACTGTCAACCAGATATATAATAGAAAATAAAAGGAGGATATACACTGAAAACAAATGAGATATAAAATTAATTGAAATAAAACTGAGGAAAAGTGAATACCAGTGGCAATCAGGATTTCACCAGGTGTAAGAATACCTCCAGGAGGTCGCATATAGCAGCTTTTTGGTGCAGTAGTTTGAAACTAAACAATTCAAAAGGAGCAACAAATTTAACTTAAAATTGGAAAGGAAGTGGAAACTTAGACTACTGCTTATTTTGTGTCATCCATATCAATTAATGATTTGTGATGAAGATAACAATACAAAAAAATTTGAATCGAATTTCGCAAGATACATCACCAATTTTAGAACTTAAGAAACGAAGTTATAAATCACTAAGCTTCCACGCGGAAAAAAAAACGATCTAAAACGATCCAGAAAAAGGTGAAGTCATCACAAAACAATGACACCTCATATTCAATGTCCGTTTTAACTAAAAGTATAAACTTTAAAAACTGCATTTGTTATAAATGCCAAAAGCTTCAAAGGCTGCAAAGAAATATAGATGAAAAAAATCAACTAGCACAAAAGGGTTGAACAAAAATGGGGATAAGTAGTTTACCTTGAATGCAACATAAGATTTGCTTGTGTTCTTCATCCTTACAGCACTCTTCGCCTGCTTTCCGGGTTCATCTTCAGAACACAACACCAAAAACAGGAACCAATATATCTGTCATTGTCAACATTACATAGCTAAACCAAAATTCTTTTTCCAGTGTTTGATTACCTTGAATTGTGGAAATACTTCTCCTAAAAAATTACTTTAACCAAAATAATTATCTTCCTTTCACTTATGGGCACGAAACCGTTTTGCTTAACAAATACCACAACTCTTACAACATATCACATGATACTATCATATACTTTCCTTCCATCCCATTTTATGTGATGGAACATACTATTTTCTATTTAGTATGTTCCTAAAAGAATGATACATATCTATATTAAGAAATAATTAAGTTTTAAACTTTTCATTACCGTTAATTAAATGATATACTATAGCAATACAAATTTCTATGACTTGTTTTAGACCACAAGTTTCAAACAGTTTTTTTTCTTTCCTTTTTTAAACTGTATGTCCAATCAAACAACTTTCACATAAATTGAGACAGAGGTAGTATCATATCTTCATATAAAAAGACCTAAAATGGAATAACGAGAAGTAGTAAACAGGTAAGTAAATAAACTCTACTCACAAGGAAAGTAGAGTTTGCTAGCAGGATCAAGACGGAGCCTACGCCTACGCCAAGCCGGAAATATTGATTTAGTGAAGGGGCAGAGCCACCCGACTTTTCCGTCGGAGGGTTGTCGCTTGTGGCGGTCGGCGGTAGCCATGGCCCGGAGCGTAGTGGAGTTCAGATGTTAAATTACAATTTCAGACCATAAAAATTAGGGGAATTAATGTCGTCGTTTATGTGGGAGCTTTAGGTTGACTCAAGTTTTAGAAGACTTAAAGGTCAGAAACAGTGATGTTATTATATCGAGTTTTTCAAAAATCATCCCTTAACTATAGCTCAAACCTAAGGTACATCCTTGGGTTACCTCAGTAAACAAAAAACATCCTTATATTATCTAAAAGGTGGCAAAAATCATTCCTCCGTTAACTTTTGTCAAAAAAAACTAACGGCATCTAGGGGTGGGCATCGGTCGGTTTGGTTATGAATATTATCGATTTACCATATCGGTTACCGGTTTACAAATTTGATAAACCGATAACAGAACCGATAAGATATAGGTTATTGGTTAATCAGTTATCTATCATTATCGGTTCGGTTATCAATTTACCCGATAAGATAACTCAATCTAGAGTTAATAAAAAAAGAGAAACAATTCACTGGAGTTAAGCAAAAAAGAGCACATATAGTATACTACCCATTTCTGCGTTCTGTCAAGTGGCCACAATTGGAATAGTACTATTCTTCAACAACAGTTGTCCAAATACATTAATAATAATACAAAGTAGTAGCAATTTCACCTTAAAATTAACAAGTCCAAACATGTAGTATTAACAGTCCAAGATAAATTGGATGTTGTTTGTCAAATGCCTAACCTAAAAAAAGAAATCATAGAGCAAAACCTTGATCTCTGCATGGGCAATACTAACACAGAAATAAAAAATACCTAGAAGGCAAGAAAATGTTGTCCTATTGTCAAAGCTCAGCTTACTGTACAAAAAAATAATGTTCAAAAATATACCCGAAACTGACGAAGATTGTCGATTGAGAATTGATAAGTGCGAAGAGAAATTCGTAATAGGTATAGGCTGCACAACGTGAGCTCACAAAATTAAGAAACGAAAATAAAAAAATAAAGAATTATTAACAGTCAAAAATACCAATATGAAGATAAATTTTATTATAAAAATTAAAAGCCTAATGTATAAGACTAAAGACTTATGCTAGGAGTAACTAGTAAGGTCTATGAAGAATGAAGATGAAGCAACCGAAGAATAGGAGAGAATAAAGTGAAGCCCTAGCATATGTATATACTTAAGGGTGAAGTCGTAATTTTACTAATTCTTATTGGGTTATCGGTTAACCCATTAACAAAATTGGCAAACCGAGACCCGAACCGATAATCCAGTAGCGAAAAAATTCTAAACTGTACCGAACCGTTAACCCTATAACCCGATACCGATAACGCAATAAATAATTAACGGTTCGGGTTATCGATATTAACCCATATATGCCCAGCCCTAACAGCATCAGCAAAAAAAATGTCAAACACTTGCCTTTCCCCCTAAATTTTCCCATTCTATCCCTTCCATCCTCTACCTTCAGCGAAGCAAAGGCTTCTGAGCACCCAAACCTTCATCAATTGCCCCCAAATGTCCAAGGAGTGAGACCCCACATTATCATCCTCCCTCCACAAATGACTGATTCTTCAACAAGCTACTCGGGAGGTGTCTGTGTGAAGAAGCAGTCTTTTGTGGAGGGAGGGTGATAATGTGGGGTCTCACTCCTCGGACATTTGGGGGCAAATGACGAAGGTTTGGGTGCTCAGAAGTAGGGGTGGGTGTCGGTCGGTTCGATCGGTTATTATGAAATTATGGTTCGGTTTATTGGTTTTGTAATATTAATAACCAAATCAAACCAAAGTATTTACGGTTCGGTGCGGTTTTCTCAAAGTTCGGTTCGGTTATTTCCAGTTTATTTTTTCGGTTTTAAACGGTTCAAAGAAATTGCACATAGTGTAAGAGAGACGAAACTAGTGTAACTGACATTTAGTGCAATGGCCGGAAATGCTGTTGGACCAATGACATTTAGTTCATTTCGGTGCGGTTTACGATTTAAGGAAATTGGATGTTCTGGAACGAGGATGTTTTATCTGTATTTCAATGCAATGGTACCTCATTAGCACATAATCGATATCAGTTAGTCAGAAACTCCATTGGGTCCAGTTTTTGAATTCATTCATTCTCGCGCAACTTTTGAGCATTACTCTCAATTGCCATATTACTAGAATCTGTCCATATTCATATGGGAGCAGCAGCAGAGAAGTTAGGTCAGCAATATGCTGGGACCTGACTAGAATGAACCAAAGAGATTCAAAGAACAAAGGTACCATCTGTTGGCATTTGCGAATGTTGCTGCTGAGAAGCCGCAGACTGAGGAAATTGACTGGGAACACTCGGTGAGTTTCTAGATGCCTGAATTAAATTTTATGACGTAGAGTTAATACACAAAGATTGAGAAATTTCATCTTTTTTATGTAACAACTGAAAAAATGCTGCTTCATCTACCTGAGATTGAAATTTATATACAGCCATTTTGAGCATTTGGTCACCAAATACTTCTCGTGTGTCTTACAAAACCTTCCTTAGAAATTTCATTTTTCTGAACACATATTCCTTTTGTTAGCAAAACTACTATAACAGAAAAGGCAAAATAATGCAAAAACAAGTCAGCACTTTGAGTTTAACGTAACGAGTCTGGAGTTGCGAAATGATGCATTTAGTGCAATGGCTGGAAATATTGTTGGGCCAATAAAACCAAGAATAGAGAACAAGCAAAAGAATTAACACAGCAGCACAGTTAACCAAAATTTCGATTTTTCGATTTAACCGAAAACCGAAATACAAAAACCGTAAACCGCACCGAAAAACCGAAAATTAATAATTTTAAAACCGTGTACCGACCGAAAAACCGATTAAACCGAAACCGAAAAACCGAAATTCACGGTTCGGCCGATTTATTCGGTTCGGTCGGTATTATGCCCACCCCTACTCAGAAGCCTATGCTTCGCTTAAGGTAGAAGATGGAAGGGCTAGAATGGGAAAATTTAGGGGGAGGCACGTGTTTGACATGCTTTTTTGTTGATGGTGTTAGTTTTTTTGACAAAAGTTAACTGAGGGATGATTTTTGCCACCTTTTAGATAATATAGGGTTGTTTTTTGTTTACTGAGGTAACTCAAGGATGTACCTTAGGTTTGAGCTTATAGTTAAGGAATGATTTTTGCCAAAAACTCGTATTATATCAGTAATGATAAAAGAACATAAAAATCCTTTGTTCACTTTTCTTCCAAATGAGATCTGAAGGAAACCTTGTTGCTCCCAAACGCACGCTCAAGTATACGTGATCGACAAGTAATATAGGATTGTAAGTCCAGATATCGTACCCATAGGGACTTGTGATTAACTATCAACCAAATTAAATCAAACAATTAATCTATTCAAGCGATTCCTAAAGTATGAATATTTAACTAAAATTAATCTAGAGTAACAAATTAAGAGATTAAAGAAACAAGTTGGCGAATTATAGAGACAAATTCTATGTGAGTGAACATTCTAGAGCTATGGGTTAGCTAACAATCCCGTTGAGTTTTCTACCTAAATTGTCTAATTAATTTATCTAGTTTATTGATTGACAAGGTTAATATTGCTCGTAGCCTTCTCCCGATGTACAACTCGCCTATTCAAGCTAACCTAACGCCTATATTCCTATGGAATTAGGATTAACAAGAACGCATTTATAATTCCCGTATAATAACCAAGCAAGGCGATTAGGTATATTCCTATCCTAACCGCAAATCCGACCCCCCTCAGAGTTAAGATCTTGCTCTACTCACTATATGCACTTTAGAATTCCCTCTCCCGAGTTCAATCCTAGATTCGTAGATAGTATTCAATTGGTGATCAAGCAATCAAATAATTAAGCGCAATATTGAATAAATAAACCAATATGATAAAATAATAAGAACAATTCAAGCTTCAAACTACAACGTTCATGTAGCACCCAAAACTCTAAAAACTAGTAAACTATGAGATTAAAAGAATAGAAGAGAAGTAAAACTAGTTAGAAGCCTCCTTCAAGAGTGGTTTGTGTTCCCCCACGTGAATTCTCCTTCAAAGTATGTTCCCCTAGGTCTAAGATCTGTCCAAAATCCCCAAAATAGCATTTTTATATGTATTTATATCAAGTAGGGTCGGGCCTAGACGAAACACCTTTTCCTGCGCGAAATAGGACACTGGCTCTGTAGAATTTGTACTGGCGCGCCGCACACTGCGCCGCACTGTGCGGTGTGCCTGTGGGGAAGTTCAGAGAACTGATTCAGACAGACTGCATGAAAATTCCAAAGGCGCGGCGCACTGTGCGGCGCGGTAATGGGAATTTGCGAAACTGCAAAACATGAAAGTTGTAGCCCTTTCAAATAGCTTTCCAGCGATATATTGTGGAGCCCAAACGGAGTTCTGAGCGAAAAGTTATGTGCATTTTACTAGACAATGCGTCATATGCCCGCTCGATTCTTCGTTTCGTTCTTAACTATCATCCATTGATCCCCGAACACGATCCCGGCTTAATTCCTTGGGCTTTTACTCAGACTTCAAAGCTCCAAATCACTTGAATTCATTCCATAATTTCTACATAGCTCGGAATCACTCCTACAAGGCATAAAATACAAATTTAGTGCAAAACACTAGCGATTAAAGCTCAAACTCAATTAAAGTGCAGTAAATTAAAATGTAATAAGCGACGAAAATACACAATTATAACCTATCATCAAACCTCCCAGCAAAATCCAAAGTTTTTGGGGCCAATTGTACACAGACGTGGATTTAAGGAATTGTACAAATATTAAATTCATATTTAGTAAAGAAAAAAAGACTTTTAAAATTTATTATCTTAGATATGTTATAGAAGTAACATTTATGTGCCTTTTAAGACTTTTGAAATGCCATTAATATATGTGTGACTATAAGATTTATTAAATACTATATGTGATTTTAAACATTAAAAAATTATCAATAAACATACAAAAAGGATCAGAAATACGCATTGACTATGCAAAAAGGATTATTTATACTCTATTATACTTTCAGTCTAATATTATCCCTGATATTATAGAATAGATGCAAAAAATACCTTTCCTCATTAGTGTCCTCCCCCATGAAGAATATCGTCCCATGTGACCTAATATATTACTGAAATGAATGTCACATGACATGCTACCTCGTTAATCCAATTCCAAAATCTTTCGCCAAAAGTTTTATCAGTCGTTGAAATTCTCGTAATCTCCATAGTTATGAAATGCATTAAACTATATGAAGACATAACATAAGTAATCGAAGACGAAACTAAAGAAGAGAAAAAATGAAAGAAATATTAAAAGAAGATAGGCCAACAAATTCACTGCCTGAGGTATTACAAGATTAAACAGGTATAGCTCAGGTAAGCATACGCTATACCCGGTCAAACTCGACCAGACGTCCGTTAGCATGAGATAGAGGTGTTCATAAAAATTCGAAAAATTGAACCAAACTAAAAACCGACCAAAAAAGCTGATACTTTTTAGGTTTGGTTTGATTTAATTTTGAATTTTGAAAACAGATCAAACTTGGTTTGGTTTTAGTTCTAATCAAAAAATAGCCTAAAAAAACCGACTATAAAAGTAGCTATTTAAATTTATTATTACACCTCCATATATAAAGTTTCTAAAATTTTATGGTACATATTAGTCGTTTGTATTTTTAGTCTAGCTCTTTGCTATTATAATAATTTAATTCTTTGCCTTTGCATTCTAATTTGATTGGTAGTTTTCTTTTACTAAGTACAAAAATTTATTTAATGTTAAAAATAATTAATTTTTAATTAAGTACTTAAATTATTCATCACTATTTGATTCAATTATCATCAATATATCTTGGTAAATGATAGATTTCTCAAAGAGCAATTGGTTGATAGTGTTAAATGTAATAGCCGAAATATGCGTTTGGTAGTGTAAGTCTTATATTTAAGAAGAAATCGATAAATAATCTAAAAAACAGAAAAACCGACAAAAACTGAATCGATAAAAAACCGACTCAATTCGTTTGGTTTCAATATTAACCGACTTACTTAATTTAGTTTCTCTTTAGGGAAAAACCCATGAACACCCCTAACCTGCGATGTTTGGGTATACAGCATGCCTGGCATAGTTGTTCTTTCCTTTTCTTTGCGTTATTTTTTTTCACCATATTTTAGTTCTTCGAGTTAATTTTGAATTACTTTGATTCCAAAGTAACTAAATGAGTACTACCTAAACAAATAAAAATAAATGGGAGATAAAAAAATCTTTAATAATAATAATAATAGTACTTATAAAAAAAAAGGTTATCCATCTTATCTCTAAGGTATATTTAAGGTTTAATAATTATTTGATTGTTGGCCGATCTCTTTACATATGCTATCCGGAGATATGGGGATTTCGATAATTGTTCCTTCGCCAAATGAGTGTCGCAATAGGTAATATAGGCTGCCAATTTTGATCTCAACAATCTGACTTTTGGTCTAGTTATGTGTATTCCACATTGTACCCAAGCTTTAAAGTTAGCTGATTGGTTGTAAGTGGAAGTTTGTATTTTCCATTTTTAGTTTCTCAATAGAGATAATGAGAGACTAATTAAGATAAATTAAGGAGAAAGTAAAAGGCAAAAACATTTAAGACAACATTCAAGTGATTTATCGTGATCATCATCAATATATACAGAAAATGGAGAGCTGAGATGGACACTATCAATTAGGTCCCCAACAGGCCAAGTACATGATATTTCTCAAAGACTCTTCAGATTGTTTCAATTTCTGCTCCCTTACCCTTAGCATTTCATTTGACACAAGTTTAGTCCGCCAGAGAGTCTCTTAGCTTGATGAGAAAAAGGCCTCGTGAAATTAGCCTTGGCATGTTGGTGTAGTAACCTCATAGTATAATTCCATCTAGCAAAACCTTGATCTTTTAATGCCTCCAATGCTTGTTGCCACTATCCAAGCTCTTCTTGATGAACTCATTTTGTCGCTGCTTCTTCTTGAATCTTGAAAAAGTTAGGTGTTTGATTTTTAAGTCGCTTGTGATTTTGGATGAAAATGAAGTGTTAGTGGCACTTTGTTATATAGGAGGATGAAAAGGAAAGCCATAGGAAATTGTAATATGGGAAAAATCACCTGTACCCTGGTTTTCAAAGAGAAAATGTTAAAGAATGGGCGGCAGCAAATTGTTTAGGATACTGGTTGGTCCTCAACTCCACACGACTAGGGGTGTGCATTCGAATCGATTATTTGTTTTATTGAAACGATAACGATAAGAATATGTACAAATCGATAAGTAATTATCGATAAGGGTCAAAATCGAATCGATAAATCGAATGCACACCCCTAGACAGGACTGTGGGAGCAGGGGCGCACATGGTTTTCTCTCCTGGGAACGGAACCTTATCCTAAAAATATTAAAGAGAAAAAAAAAAATAAAGAATAATCATATTTCGATATCCTTAATAATTTGTTTAGGATTCTTTCCTTCTTATCCTGTTTCAAAAATATTACTATTCCTTCCGTTTCGAAACCTATTTCCTTTTTTGTCCGTTCCAAAAAGAATGACCTCTTTCTAAATTTAGTAACAATTTAGTTTAAACTTTCAATTCTACCCTTAATGAGAAGCTTTTATAACTACACAAATACTCTGAACCCCCTTTTGACTTGTTTAGGACCATAAATTCAAAAAGTCTTCATTTTTCCTTAAACTTCGTGCTCGGTCAAACAGATTCACATAAATTAAAATGGAGGGAGTATATTTTTTCAATATGTAAAAATTAATTAAACTTTAATTCTCGGTTTTTTATTGGCATGCCGCATGACTTGTTATAGATCTTATTGAATACAAAATAAGAGTATATTTAGTATAGTATTTAATCTAAATTTCGTGTCTTTTTTCCCCTTAAATTAAATTCTGTATCAGGGCATTAAAAGTTGTTATACATTACATAGATCATATAGCCAAAAAAGCGAGGACTAGTAACAAAACATAATCTAGAATTGAAATAGTCAGTTGAAGTTAAGAGTGATGATTGCTAAGTTGGTAGAGCACCTCCACATTAGAAGAAATCGGAGAGCTATTTATGTGGGTTAAAAAAGAAAGAAAAAATAAGTGAGACTAGAAGCAAACTGGTAATATGCCAGTAATGCAAACAACTAATACTAATATCAATTTTATAATTGGTGTCATGATCAAATGATGTAGCTGCTACCGAAGGGCTAAACTGTTTTTTATATGGTGGTGTCCTGACGAGCGCGTGCATACCTCGACTATTTTATCTGGTACATCCTACCTCCTATCAGCGGAACTTTACCCACCAAGACCTTCAAAACGCCTAACTAAACATGTGTAATGTCAAAACCATCTGCTATGCGGAAAGTGTCAGCTGCACCCAACTTTCTCCTCTCTTCTGAGTCATCTTCAAAATCTTTTTCATGATTGTTGTCTTTCTCTTCCTCGTGAAGGTGATTTGAGGTAGGCGCATTGATACTTCTGGATCGGCAATGTGGACTGGCGAGCATGTTCACTTGACCAAAATGGGATATTTCTATGACCACGTCCCTGTCATCATCCGTGGGAAGGCGTTGCTTCCATGGTTCCCCATCCATCCTCATAAATGTATGCTCAGCAGCACCCTTGTGAAACTCAAATCGGATTCTGTTCGCCTACAGATATATAATAGAGAACAACGTTAAAAATCCATGATATAAACCAAAGAACATTAGCTTTTCTGTATTATGAGCACTTATTAACCAAAGAACTTAACAAAATGCACCACAGAAGCACATTGAATTGATCAAACATATTTACATCTTAAGAATTTTTCTTGATCAAACAACCTGTGCAAGGCGTGTTCCGTGCCCTCCTGGAGTAAACAGAATAAGTCCATGCCAAGCATCTCGGAAACCAACAACCTCAAGCAGACCATCATCAACATATGGAGGAGTAAGGTCCCTCTGTTAAAGTAAAAAAACATAAAGCAATACAGAAAATGTTTTACTAGACGACGAATACAGCCAACTAATCTTATTAACACAGTATTCATCATAGATATAAGGAAAATATAGAAACTGACTTCATGCAGCTTCTTCTTGTTAGGTTTTCCCCAAGGATTAAGTCCTCCAGAAAAGCTGGGCAAATTAAGGCAGACGATAGACCTAATGCTGCACATACAACCACAGGAAACAACAATGTCATAGGTCTTTACCAGCTCATGAACATCTATTTGTAAAGGTTTCCAAAACTTGTGTCATCTATTCACCTATTGGAGATTTAAAAGTAAAAAGGGAAAAAAGCAAATGGTGCAGGTTATAGAGCATCATACTGCTACCTTTTAGGTATGTGAAGGTCTATCCATTCTCCTGGGCTTTTCATTATTTTGACATTTGCTAGCTGTGCAATGTTTCTGCAGGAAAAAAACGGATTCATTCAGTGTTTAGTTTGAAATGACCTGTCTTTATAAGAGAGGACTGTTCCATCACCATCCTCGCATACTAATGGAACACAGAACAAAGATCAATAGACATATGAATAAATTCTTTGCAGTTGGTGACAAAGTGTAAAGATGCCAAGATCATAAATGTCATGTTAAACAACTATCTGATATCAAATAAAGGCAAATATAAAGCATGAGAATGGTACTGAGGATTGAGATAAATATGCTGATGCTATAACACATATTCCTAATAACATAGACTATGATATTACGAAAGGTCCATTTCCTGGCATTATGGCCATATAGTCCATTAAATATCTAAAATGTTTTGTCGCTAGGTCATACATAATAGTTTTCTCTTCCTTCTTCGAGCACATGCAAAAAGAAACCTCTTGGAACTAACTATCACTAAAAATATTTCCCAAACCATAATGATGTGCATACTGGCAGGGGAGAAAGGTAATGGACTGTGTTAAAACAAATAAAGAAAGACATGATATGACCAGCGATATATACAGGTTAACCTTGACTAGAAGACTAACCTTGAAGATGGATGCACGAAAGAAGTGCAAAACCATCCTTGTTTACATACAAGCTTTCCATAAGTTCTCTAAACAAATCGTAAACAAAGAGAAAGGACTATCAGAGATGATTTCAAATAAAAGTAATTGAACAGATAGAAAACAAAAGGAACACCGGTAAGAAGCATAGGTAAAAAGATAATATTGGACAAAACATCGGGAGACCATTGGTAGCAGGGGTATCTATAATTATATAGCCATATTTGACATGTCAAGAGACTTTGTAAGCTACTTCAGAACATAAAACAAACCAGAAGTAGGCAAATTAACATGATCACACCATGTTCCAAATGACTGTAAGAGGACCTGATTAACTAACTGGTGTCTGAACTTTTGTGGATGGAGCTTCCTCTCGCTGTGAAATGCATATGAAACTTGAGCATCCATTCCTGCAAGTTATGGAAAAATGAATAAAGTGAAAAAGGTGAAAAGCTTCAACTCGGGAATGAAAAAAAATACTACACTAGATAATGCAAGAATGAAGTTCTTGATGAAATCATGACACAAATTAGAAAATGTAGTGCTTCTAGGGAATGTAGACCTCTTGTATAGCTTTGCATTAGATAGAGAAGGGTGTCATAAACCAATTTGACTGGATTGTTCACTAAACAGGCCAAATGTACACCACCCCATAGAATTCATTTAAGCTTCAAGTGCTGAAGTGGAGTATTTGAATACTACAATAACCAATAAAAGATGTGAGAGGTGGGGAGAGGTGATTAGGCAAGACATGGCGCAACTTCAGCTGACCGAGGACATGATCCTTGATAGGAAGGTATGGAGGTCGAGGATTAGGGTAGTAGAGTAGGTAGTCTAGAGTGTTCATAACAGTAGTATTGGCACGCAGTCTTGCTTTTTGTTGGTAGTAGGTTTTATGACTAACCGTTGTTTTCTTTCATTGTTGATCGCCTTACTATCTTGTTGTTTTTATTTTGCTTTTGTATGGCTTTTTGGTACTGTCCCTTATTGTCTATATTTTCATTAATATGGTGCTTATGCTTTCTTGAGCCGAGGATCTATTGGAAACAGGCTCTCTATTCTCACAAGGTAGGGGTAAGGTCTGCGTACACACTACCCTCCCCAGACCCCACGGTGTGGGTAATACTGGGTTTGTTGTTGTTGTTGTTGTTGTAATAACCGATAAAAGATATATTCAGAGGAGGGATTAAAACACTTGCCTATGCTGAAGTAGTTCCAAAATCCTCCTCGAAATATATGATGACGTTCCTGAAAATAGGCATAGTGCACCTTAAGGTAAAGGAATGCATGATAAGAGGGAGATAAAGTTAAGCAGGTGAAATCAAATTAAATTATTCATTTCCTCAGTGAGAGTATCGGACATCTCAAACAAACCTTAACAAGGTATAAGATCAACAAGTTATTTTTTAACCCAATCAATCCGATATCAGATGTATTCTAGCATCTAGAAAGGATGTTTAAGGTGGAACATTGTTCTAGTTGTAAGATTTCATTTACTTAAGTACAAGAAGTAAATAGGCAGCACATTTCCAGTAGGCGACGGAAAGGGAAAATCTAGATACTCTCTGCTGGAATATATTTTTAGCTGACTTATAGACTAAGCAGACGAAAAAATGGACTGAATAGTTTGATACCTTGTTCAAAGTATCAGCTCGAGACACATGATGAAAGGCATGCAATGAATGTGGTAGCTCAAGAGGTGCAATAGGAACACAAGAACCTTCTTTAGGAGCCTTCATTTTCATAAGAATATGCCAGCTGAAACGTAATAACCGTCATGTCAGCCAAATGAAGATTTTCAGGTTTACTCAATGAAAGATGCACAAATTGTCATGCTAAATGGCTTGAACATATCTATATAGCATGCAACAGTCTTTAGAAACAAGTTTTCGGTTTATTTTGTATGTACACAATCATGGATCTTCTTCAAACAGCTTCCAAATTAGTGTACTGTCAGTCAATGTAGAAAAGGTAAATCCTTGATTCAAAGTATAAAACACTAAGATAAATCATTGCTCACATATAATTAAGTAGAGTCATGATTTAAACAGCAACCACACTTCAGTTTAACAAAAAGAAACTAAGTAATTAAAATCAGGAGTTACTGAAACTAGATGTTTGCAAGTATATTATCCTGCGTTGATGGGATGTACCAGGTATCCGATAGAATAGTTGAGGTGTATGTAAGCTGGCCCAGACACCACTTTTAAAAATTAAAACAACAACAATCAACCCAGTGTAATCCCATAAGTGGGGTCTGGGACTTTTAAAAATTAAAAACATAAATAAAATAAAATAAAAATTTTAAAAAATAAAAAACAACCATCCTGCCAGCTATAATGTTTAGATTAAGAATACCTAGAGATGGTGTAAAAATCCCTGCTAAGAGTTCTATTCATGATCTGATATTTTAAATTCAGAAATCTGGAAAAGCTATCATCATGATGTTATCAGGTTTTCTTCATAAAGCTGCCAGTAGAAACCCATAGCATTATTCAAATTAATGCAGTATAGTTGAGGAAGTATTGCACACTGTATTTAGTGAAGATTAGTCGATGGAATGGTGTATTACAAGCCAAGACGAAGCAAATATTTACAGCAATAACTAAGGCATGATAACATCAGGGGAAACACTTATGTATTTGTTGACAAGTAGATATGCAGAGAACCTTCAAATCACCACTCAAGTAAAACCAAAATTACCTGTCAACTTTCATTTCTATTCCATTTTTCACTTGATTCAGGAATGACTTCACAGACTGGCAATTAGTACCAGGATTCTTTTTCCCCTGCAATTATTAGACATATTCTCAAGCAGATGTAAAGCTAATTGATAGAATACCTACAAGAGTACTCTATAAAAGGAATGTGATTAACATAGGCATAAACAAATCAAGAATTTAAAGGCAGTGTTGAAACGTTTATGCACATATACATAGTTTGAGCACGAGAAGTGGGTGCACGTGCACCCAGCGTCTATATAATAGTTCAGCGTCTAAACACGAAGGGCATTATTCTGCATTTAGACCAACACCTTTGATTTTATACTTGTAAAGAGTATTAGAATCACTGAAAATACAGCTATTAAGTCGATGGAGACCTATGGTAATGTGTTCAAGTGTCATATATAGAATAAATTGTTCCATCAGATAATGTGATCTCGGTGTCTTACCCAGCCAAATGCAAAAGGTAGATTGTTTCCAGTTCCTAATGGCACAGTTGCAATTGGAGGTGGATGAACCAATTTAAGATCTGAAACAACACCAAGAATCCACCCTGCTGTTCCATCCCCACCTGCTACCTATGTGACTAAATATACTTCAGATATATCAATCAAATAACAAATAAGTAATACTTCAATTTATAACCAAAACTCACAATGATTCTCAATCTCCTTTCAATTTCATGTGACAAGCTATCTCCATTTTGCTTATGCTTTTCTAAATTGGAGTAAAATTGATGTAGAACCTTGTCAGGTGCCTTTTCTCCCAAATCAAACACCTGAAAACAGTCATTGAATAACTTAACCTTTGCATTTATACAACTTTCACAATTTTCCAACAAGAAGCGCTAGTTAGAAGGTGCGAGCGGTTAGCCTCGGTGGGTAGCAGGAGGGGTAGAGGTAGGCCAAAGAAGTCTTGGGGAGAGGTTATTAAGCGGGAGTCGACGCAACTGGAGCTGACCGAGGACATGGCCCTAGACAGGAGGGTGTGGAGGTCAAAGATTAGGGTAGAAGGTTTGTAGGTAGTCAAGCGTTTGTCTTTGTCTTACTCAGTTCGCTAGCATTAGTGTTAGTATGATATCTTTTATTCATATTCTTGGATTCAATCTTATTTCATCTTGCTGTTATTCATATTTGTTGCAATTACCTTTTCTTTTTCAGTCGTTCTTTAGCCGAAGGTCTATCTGAAACAGCCTCTTTGCCCTTCCAAGGGTAAGGGTAAGGCTAAGGCTGCGTAATCTTATCCTCCCCAGACCAGACCCCACTTGTGGGAAACTACTGGGTTTGTTGTTACTGTTATTGTTGTCACAATTTTCCAACAATATATACAAGTTGAGTTAACATTTTACTCCCTCCATTTCAATCTAGATGAGGTAATTTGACTCGACACAGAGTTTAAGAAGAAAAAAGAAGACTTGAAATCTATGGTATTAAAAGCTTAAGGGGTAAAAACTTTATGGGGTCATGGCATTTGTGTGGCTATAAAAACTTCTCATTAAGGGTCAAATGGGTAAAAATAAAGAATTTAAAATTGAATTATTTCCGAATATAGAAATATGCTGGAACAGACTAAAAAGTAAAGTATATGGTTAATAAAAGTATAACAGAGGTTTACCTGATTTTGATTAAGAAGAGAACGGTATGTCAAAAGAAGCTGTCCACCTAGTTGGCCACCACTTTTGGAGTTGATAAATACAAGTAGAGGACAAGAAGCTATGTCGTCATAGTCATTCTGTATATTTCTTTCAGGTAGAGGTAGTAGTATGTAATCTGGAATGTAATAATCCTTCAAAAAGCTCTCAGCTTCACAATCTACAACTGGTGCTTTATTACTGCAAATATATGGTTTAAGAATTCAACGTCATAATGACCATGAAACAATAACAATTTCTACAAACTACATAAACGCCAACAAAGACACAAGAAACTGGATTAGTCAGACATTCAAGAATAGTGGAAATGGTTACATTTCTATAGCCACGTTTAGGAGCAATCAAATTTATTAGTCTCTTGCTATTCCAATAATCTTTTCAAATGGAATGTCATGATTTACACAAATAGCCACTTTTCTGGCCTTTTAATTATAAATTGATCACTCTTCTGAATTAGACCAATGGTGAAGTTCGAAAGAGATCATCTCGTCTAAAGTTTAAAATTCAAAACTAATATTCGCTCCCTACGTTTCAGTTTATACCGAGTAGTTTGACTGGGCGCAGAATTTAAGAAGAAAAAAAAAAAACTTTTAAAATTTGTGGTCTTAAAAATTTACATGGTAAAAGTTTTGTGAGGTCACTGGTATTTGTGTTACTATAAAAACTTCTCATTAAGGGTAAATGAGTAAAATAAAAAAAATTAAAATAAAATTATTTTCAAATATAGAAATGTATTATTCTTTTTTAAAGGGACTAATAAAGAAAGTGTGTCGTATAAATCGAAATAAAAATAGTACTTCCTCCGTTCACTTTTACTTGGCATGTATACTAAAAATAGATTTTTATTTTTACTTGTCACTTTATGCATATCAATAGAGACAAAAAAAATTGTGTCTCGAAAAAGGATGGAGTATGTATCTAGGATTACTTTTTGAAAGTCATTTGTCCATATAGACGTGTGTTTAATTTGTTCTAGTGTCAAACCTTTCATTTTTTATGATCTCCTATATTCCCTTTGAAATCTTATGTAATAGTTGAAGAATTTCAATAATATCCTAATTCCTATATACGTATAATATATTTGCTAAAAAGATCACCAAGTACTACATACAGCCACAATCACGAATAAACCTACAATGCAATTATTAAACTAAGCTTTTTTATTAGTTTTATGTGGAAAAAGGAATTGTGTATATATATATATATATATGATTATGATCAAAATTAAAATTGATGCTGATCAACAACAGCCAATGTCAATTACATTCCCTTCTCTGCTCAGTGCTCACAATCTTCCACAAATTGAAGTGCAAAGAAAAATACTAGCATATTAAAGGCAGAATTTTACTTGGTGATCTTTTTAGCAATAGTAGTTGAGAAAAATAACTAATAAGAGAGCATATATATATGCACCTTTTGTGGAAGAAATTGTGAAGTGATGACTCTGCAATATGGTTGACCATAGTTGCGATCCTGTGGACTACCTGCTAATTAATTTAGCAATATAAAATTATGTTTCAGAAACTCCACAACAAGTTCTCAGATAGTTGTATAGAGGAAGCAACAAAGGAAGACGTAGAATCAGAGATAGAAGATGCTTTACTTGGCCACAAAAACAAATTTTGAATAGAGAAAACCAAAGTTACTGAAAACTAGTAGTTAAGAATGAAGAAGTAATCTCCTAATTAAGGAAGACTTGAATGATCGAAATTCGTGTGATGATAAATATATATATATATATAAAGAGAAGAAGGATGAACAAAAATATAAAGTGGATTATTAGCTGAAGGGGGGGTGATCAGCACTTCTATTGACCGTGGTAAAGCTTAAATAGAGAAGGACGGAAGTGAACAAATGCATCCTATTTCAGAGAAATTTATGAATTCTCTATTTTTTTAAGTTATTGAGTTCTAAATTGATAATTTGTGCATAATTCGCTAATTTTTTAAGATAAATTGAGAGTTTAGACATAAGTTACTGGTTCAACCGAACCCGTATCCAATGGCTAGCTCCGCCCTTGTCCTATTTACGTCAATTAAACATGTTAAAACATTTACTGTTTAAAAAATAAGTGGATATTTCTTGTAACCCCTTAAACTTCTGGATGAAGTAAGATATAGAATTAATTTAACATGATATTAGGATAATCGGAACTTCTAAATTCAAATCTCATAACCATCAATTATCAAAAAGAAGTATTTGGTGTCGACAAAAATATTAATTACCTTGTCAAGAGACGTGTTAAAACATAATTAAATAAAAGAATGATGTATATATCCTTTAGCATAGCTGTTATAATGTGTTCATCACAGTGAGAATTTCAATGCCCTAAGTTGGTTAAAGAAGTGATCACTCTTATGAAGTTGCTACCTTTCTTAATTAACTACATACATACTAAGTGGAGTTTTTGAATATTATGACAATTTAATTAGTGATGAACCAGAAGGAGATTCCTGAATCAGGCGGATTCAGACTTTAAAGTTTATAGGTTCCTATAGAAAGATCTCAAGTTATTAGTTGAGTTCACAATTAAATATTTATAAATATCTAATAAATTTTAATATATATACGAAAACTGTGCAAAAGATAGGGATAATTTCACATAAATACAACTCACACATTTGACTTGCAACATAATAGCCCAGTCATAACTTTACAAATCTGTAGCCCAAAAATAATAGGCTAATATTTGAAAAAAGAGTATTTCCTAGCTTTTTTATTCGGCAACGGAGTTTAATCAGGACAATTATCTTATTTAGATGAAGTCATGAGATTTTCTAATTCTTCCGTCGTCTAATTTTGATCTTTCTCTCCCAATTTGTCTTTATTGCTGCAAGTTGTCCCCCAATTTTTCGCTGATTCTACTTATATGGTAAAATTTAGAAACAATTGCTGCAAGTTCGTGATTTGGCGGAGAATCAACGAGGAAAGTAGATTTATACATGAATTATTCCAGAAAAAGGAAGAAAACATGAAAACAAATAATTTGATTATACATATGCAGTACATGTATAATGATGTATAACTATGTATAAACTTGTATATGGAATGTATAATAATGTATATCAAAAGAATAAGAGAAAGAAGAAGAAGAAGAAGATAAGTGATGTATGAACATATATACACATTTATATATAATTATATATATTTATACACAATTATACACAATTATACAATAATGTATAAGTGTGTATAAATAGTGGTTATACAATATTTATACCAGAACACATCTTGTGTTCAATATTACACCTCTATTTTCAGTATCAAAATATCAAAAGAGAGTTTTTCAGAGGAAGTTAGATCTGAAAATTAAAGAGGAGAGAAGATGGAGATGGAATTGTTTTATAAAAGAAGATAAAACTGGAACATCATCTGAAGAACTTGAAAATTGTCTGAATACAACACCAGACCTCTTTTTCATTCTCCGATGACTTCACTGACTTCATCATCGACCTCTTTATCTTGAAAATTGAAGGGAAAAAATGGGTAAAGAATGTTATCCACCGCCATATTTATTTTCCGATGACATCGTTAACTTTTCCGGTGACCTCTCGATCGATATCTTTACTCTGAAAGTTGAAGAAAGAAAAAAGAAGGATAAAGGAGGCTGTCGCTAGATTATCCGATGAAAATGGGTTATGCATTATCTGCAAAATGGGCTATGCCGGGTAAAGTTCCAAAACATAGGCTATTTTTGATTCTGAAATTGAGCCGACCGACATAAGATGTAATTCCTAGGTACCCGGAAACCCGTACATTACCCACTAGATCGCCTCTCTGAATGAGTTAGTTCAATGAAAGTGATTACACAATTCAAAGAAATTACATGAGTTGTGTTTCCTTTTCTTTTCTTTTTTTAATTCTTTTTTGGGAATGGATGGACTTTCAGTTCTGATATTGATTGTGTCTGCCGAATTGAGGCTTAACTTCTTTAACGGACAATGGCGTGAAATTGCGTGGAAAGTCTCCTCTCAACATCCAATGAGCCAAAGACAAATTGACAAACGACGAAGAATCCTGTTACGTCAGCAGACGCGGTAATCCCCATTTTTCTTCTTTTTCTCCGAGGTTAAGTTTATCCAAACATGGTAATATATGTTTATTTATTTTTAAAATATCACTTTTAGCCCGAAACTATTTATGTTTGGTAGTAGCAAAAGTGTATAATTCGTTATATTTTTATATATAACATACAGAAATATATTTACCCGTAAAACGGTACAGTTAAATTTGTTACGTGGTTTATAGACAAACGAACTGATTTGATCCGAAAATGATAAAAAGATAAGACCGAAAGTGACATTTAGCAATTGAAATTGAAGAAGATGACAAGCCTAGCTCCGAGTGCAATGCCTCCGAGAGCAACAGTGAAAGCAATGATAAAGTGCAAATAAAATTATTTAATTGAGAGCAAAAGCAAAATATAGCTTATGTCTGCAGAAAATTGCGTCCCTTACAATGGTTGTTGAGCCTGCTATTTTAGTTTTACCTAGAGAAACAAGATCCTAGGATCAAGCTCCTCTTAAATGATAATAAAATAGTCATTGATGAATATGTAACGGCAGGTCATGAATGCAAATATTCTCTTCAACGATCGCTCATTTAATGTTAGAGAATATTCCCTCATTGAATGATATCAGACGGCAAACCCTTAATCTCCTCCCATTAATTATGCTCCCTTGAGGATTTACCCGATGTTAATTACATTCATTGTGTCCGTATCTGTTGTTGCTTGTCTTGCCTCTTACTTACCTTCGATTCCACGTGTCATACCACCATTCGACCATTTATTATAAACCAAATTTACCTCATACAAATATTATATATATACACACACACAAAATATTACACACAAATTCAATTACACGGTAACTTTCCAAACAAGCCCCTAGTGTTGCAGGTTGGCAGTAATCTATTTGCACATAATTTTAACAAGACTTTCTTCTGGTCAAAAATATCTTCTCATTTTATTAATTAGAATCTTTGAATTTTGAGGGGGGGGGGGGGGGGGTTCACTAATTATTTGTACGAGTATAATATTAACTATCCATTTTGCACCAGCCCCAACCCACAAATCCTTTCATTTTCTTTAAGTGTATTTCCACCAATTTCAGTTCTCCACTGGATAAAGGGTTGAAATTCTGTGAAAGCATAATAAATTTTTGTTGAAGTTTCATGGTTTACACGTATGGGCCCCTAAGCTAGTACTCTCAGTTTGAATCCGCCAAACTAGTGAAATTTCTTTGACAACTTTATTAGTTCAAAGACCAAAACCCCAACAAAGAAAAAACTAAATTAAAATACAGAAAAACAAAGGAAATGTTATGAAATAAAAGCAATATAGCAAGAACTGTGTAATTAACTAGGACTAATAATAGAAGAGAATGACAACATTAGAAGAGAGGATTTATTTCTTCGTTTTTGAGTGTGGAATAGCTTCATCAGTGAACCTATTTATAGAAATATTTCGTTGTTACAAAACCAATCCAAAACCTGTTATGAATACATAACCAATCTAAAACCTGTTTTGGATACATAACCAATCTAAAACCTGTTATGGAAGACATCCATCGTTGCAATGAAACCATTTGCAGGATTTATAACACTCCCTCTTGGATGTCCACTAACAGATAATATGCCTCATTAAAACCTTACTAAGAAAAACCCAGTGGAAAAAATCTTAGTGAAGGAAAAAGAGTACACATATCTTGTAATACGCATTAAGAGTTGCCTCATTAAAAACCTTACCAGGAAAACCCAAATGGGACAAAACCTTAGTTAAGGGAAAAAGAGTACAACGCGTATTTCTCTCCCTGATAAAAAAAACCTTATTTGATATCTCGGAGACAACGCATTCCAATCTTGTATCTTAACTTCTCAAATTTTGATGTCGGCAATGCCTTAATGAACAAATCTGCCAAATTATCACTTGAACGAATTTGTTGAACATCTAATTCACCATTCTTTTGAAGATCATGCGTGAAAAAGAATTTTGGTGAAATATGCTTTGTTCTGTCTCCTTTAATATATCCCCATTTTAGTAGAGCTATACATGCAGCATTGTCTTCATATAATATTATTGGGATATCCTTTCCCCATGAAAGACCACATAGCTCCTGGATATGTTGAGTTATTGATCTCAACCAAACGCATTCTCGACTCGCTTCATGAATGGCTATTATCTCTTCATGATTTGAAGAAGTAGCAACCATAGTTTGTTTTGTTGAACGCCATGATATGGCAGTACCTCCACATGTAAATAAATAGCCTGTTTGAGATCGACCTTTATGTGGGTCAGACAAATATCCTGCATCTGCATAACCTATCAGTTGTGACCTAGATTCATTTGAATAAAATAATCCCATATCAATGGTCCCTCGCAGATATCTGAATAGATGCTTAATACCATTCCAGTGTCTTTGTGTTGGGGAAGAACTAAATCTTGCTAACAAGCTTACAGAAAAAGTTATATCTGGTCTAGAATTATTAGCAAGGTACATTAATGCCCCAATTGCACTAAGATATGATATTTCAGTACCTAGAAGCTCTTCATTATTTTCATGAGGACGAAATGGATCTTTATTTATATCAAGCGATCTCACAACCATCGGGGTACTCAATGGATGTGCTTTATCCATATAAAAACGCTTCAAAATATTTTCAGTGTACGTTGATTGATGGACAAATATTCCATTTTTCAAATGCTCAATTTGTAAGCCAAGACAAAATTTTGTCTTTCCAAGATCTTTCATTTTAAATTCTTTCTCCAAGAATTCTACTGCCTTTGGAA